CCCATATAGAGGTGTCTTTGTCCTAGGAACTTGCTTATTTTCTCGTCTTCAGTTCAGGCCTTTGGAAGTTTTAAATGGGAAGTGCCGATCAGAGTTTTTCTTTGGCATTGACTCTGGGTACAGGATGTCTGGATGTTGGTGAGTTTGGCTGCTTTTAGTTTGAATTTGTAACCGAGGGCCCTTGCCATGAGAGAAAAGCTGCTAACAGCTGCTGGGCTCTTTATGGCAGGAAGGCTGGCTCCAGACTCTTCCGTGCTGATAGGACAAACTACATAATGGGAGGGTTGGGTGGGCCAGGCCAAATCACTGATGGGAGGGCTCCAAAGGGAAGTTATTTTTCCATTTTAGGCCAAATCTTTTGTGATAGGGAACAACATTCCTAGGGCCAAGACCCATACTGCCCTGATTCAGACGTGAAGGTCTGCTATCTGTAGGTCAGCTTAGCACTTTGTAATAAATTTAGTAGGGGATACAAGCAACAGAGAAGATGAGTTCCCATCCCTCAGAGAGGGAGGAGAAGAGAAAAACAAAAGGAGAACAATATGTGACAATATGTTATGTTAAGGCCAAATGAGTGTGAGAGGCTGCAGACTGAGGTCAGAGGAGGGAACAATTAATCTTGGCTGGAAGGATCCAGGGAAGCTATTTGAACTGGGCCTGGAAAGAAGAGGGAGGACAGATTGATGGAACCAGTGGGAGCAAATGCTGTGGGACTGGAAGAGGATGCTGGCTCAGCGAGAGGAAAGGAACCCTGTTAACATAATGCACTGCAGGAGGCTCACTACTGATGATGGTCTGGTGCTTCGCTTCCAGGACCGAGGCTTCTCCTTGTGAAGGATGTCACAACGCATGGGTGTATTCGGAAGTCTCTTTCAGAAATCTCTCCTCCTTTAAGTTTTTCTCCAACCTGGCCTTTACAGTTTCTCAAAGACAGCTAGTGAGGCCAGGACTTGTAGGGTTTATCTGCCTTGCTGTTTGCTCATGGCCTTGGACTAAGTGGTTAGAGTATGGGTGATGCAACTTGTTCATGGGGCTGAAGGGCGTTGCTTATGTTTCTTTTTCTTTTTCTTTTTTTTTATCCTCACCCGAGGACATTTTTCCATTTTTTGTTCAGATAGAGCGGGAGGGAGAGAGAGATAGAGAAACATCGATGTGAAAGGGACACATCGAGTGGCAGCCACCCGCACGACCCAACCAGGGCCGGGGACAAACTGCAACCAAGGTACATGCCCTTAGCGGGAACCGAACCCGGGTCTCTCTGGACCGCAGGCCGATGCTCTAACCACTGAGCCAAACCGGCCAGGGCTTATGTTTCTTTTTCAATGTGCCCATTTAAAGTGTTAGGTGGCAGTCAGATTCCCTGTTTTCATTGCAGCACTTGGAGGGAATTTCTCCTTTGTGTTCTTAGATTTGTTGTGTTCTAATTCAGGCATACCTCAGAGATATTACAGGTTCAGTTCCTGACTACCAAAATAAAGCAAATTTCACAATAAAGTGAGTCATGTTAACTTTTTGGTTTCCCAGTGCACGTAAAAGTTATGCAGAAGCCCTGGCCGGGTAGCTCAGTTGGTTAGAGCATAACCCCGATATGCCAAGGTTGCGGGTTTGATCTCCAGTCAGGACACATAAAAAAAATCAACCAGTGAATAAATAAATAAGTGGAACAACAAATTGATCTTTTTCTCTCTCTCTGTGTCTAGAAATCAAATAAAAAAAAATCCACACAGGAGCTAAAAAAAGTTATACATAAACTATACTGTACTTTCTTAAGTGTGCAAAAGCATGATGTCTAAGAAACAGTGTATATTTCTTAATTAAAAAATACTTTATTGCTGCCTGGCTGCTGTGGCTCAGTGGTTGAGTGCAGACCTATGCACCAAGAAATCACTGATTCCTAATCAGGGTACATGCCTGGGTTGTGGGCTCGATCCCAGTAGGGAGTGTGCAGGAGACAGCCGATTGATGTACCTCTCTCATTGATGTTTCTATCTCTCTCCCTTTCCCTTCCTCTCTCTAAAAATCAATAAAAACATATTTAAAAAAATACTTTATACTTTATTGCTAAAAAATGCTAAATGTCATTCGGGCCTGTAGGGAGTTGTAATCTTTCTGCTGGTTCGGGGTATTGCCTCTGTGTTGATGAAAATGCAATAAAGTGAAGGGCAACAAAACAAGGTATGTCTGTAGTTAGAAACTGCAAAAGCAAACCAAGATGGGACATGTTCAATATCAATGGTTCTTGGCCTTTATTCTGCCTCCCTTGAAGAAGGGATCATTTGGACCCATGGTTACTATACTACCAATCACTTGGTTACTTTTTGGTGTTATTTAAATAGAACCCTCCCACCCCCAATTTGATATACTGAGTTTCCAACCACATAGTTATAGGAAATGGTGCCATGGGTTTAGTGACTACCCAGCTCAACAATCTGATAGATATCTCAAAAAAATAATTTTACGCTCAGTTACATTGACATAAAAACTTGGCAGCATGTCCACGAAAGTGGGACTCCCCCCATCCCCAAGGACCATGGCACACAGGCTGAGGACTGCCAAGCTCTGTGCTTGGCACTGTGCTTGATGCTAGGAGTGTAGATGCAGTCCCCACCCTCACAGAGCTCAGCCCAGCAAGGGACACTGACAGTAGTCAGGCATTGTTCAAGAGTACATTCACAGCTGTTGTCAGCGCTAGACAGGGTCCTTCCGAAGGGCAGCGCTCAGGAGCATATGGGAAGAACACCTAAGCCAGACCTGGAATTGAAGGCTTGCTGGAGAAAGACCTCTAGGCAGATGAGTCTGAAAGGCTTGGGGGGAGTGGCTTCTCTCTCTGACCCCTCCCGTCCCAGAACTCTAACAGGCTGTTCTGTTCTGTCCAGCCTGTGCAATCATTGCTGAGAGGAACTTGAAACCTTGTTTTCTGGTACTAGGTACAGTGGCAGTGGCCTTATTAGGATCTTTTATTTGGTAAAATTGGAAAATTTGGTTTCTGTTCCTGAATTATTTTCTGGAGATGAGAACTGGAAGCCCCTTTTTTATTCCAATCATATAATATTGGAACAAAATTACATTAAATACATATTTGTAAATTAAAACAAAAACAAAAACGTTTATAGTAGAAATTTTAGAAGCCATAGAAAAGTAAAAAGCCCTGGCTGGTTTGGCTCAGCGATTGGAACATCGGCTGCAGACCAGAGAGTCCCAGGTTTGTTTCCCGCTAGGGGCACGTACCAAAAAAATAAAATAAAATAAATATAAAAAAAAAAGTAAAAAGAAAATTAAAATCACTCTTTATCTCACAACCCAGAGGTAGTCTTTGTTTTTAGTTATTGTTTGGTGTGTGAAATATACACATATTCTTTTTACAAAAGTGACTTTTTCTTTACAGACTTTTGTAACCTGTTCTTTGTTGTTTGATATATAGTAAACATCTTTCTATTATTAATTTTGACATTGCATTGTGATATCTCTCTTTAGTAATAAGACTAAATGCTGCTTTTCCATCCCAAAAGTTGTACATCCCAGCGACTATTGCCTGCTTAGGAAGGGAGCATGGAAGTTGTACTGCTGATAGGCAAAGTGGGTTTGGGAAATTTTCCTAGATGTAGGGGTGGCATTTTCCAGGGTTCTACCTTTTAGGATGGGGGAGGGGGCTGCAGCACGTCTGCTTCCCAGCCCAGGTACAGGGAGTGGAGATGGCACAGCTTCAGAGCTGAACTGTGTGTGTGGAATGTGTAAGGGTATGACCAGCACCTTATGCTCTCTCTTTTCTGCTGTGGGTTTGGGGCTGTGGCTACTGTTGGCCCCTTAGAAATCACTGGCCCTTGTTATTCAGCAGAATCTGCGCTGCCCTTTGGGAACTGAATGTGTAGGTCAGGGCTTGCTTTGGGTTATAGGTCTCCTGGCTGTCCTGCCCCTTCCTTTTTCAGGTCAGTCCATAGCCCCAGGAAGGACCAGGACTTTCAGTTTAACAAACAGCAAAGCCCTGCCTGAGCCTCGGTGGGAAATACTGATGGGAACAAACACTCCTGACCTCAGAGCTTGCTCTGTGGCTGACTGTGTCCTCCTCTTGTTGGCCATGATTCCAGGTCTAGCCAACAGGAGCACTTGATGGAATCCTGATTTCTGTGTCTCTCTCCTTCCCAGTGCTCTCTCACAGTGGTTACATTACTTGCCTCTGTCACAGCCCTGTAAATGGATGAGTCGGGTTAATGTCCTCTTCTTCTGTGCTGACCTTGAACCTCATCCCTTCCTTCAACTACCTTTACTCCACTAAATACCTCCCCTGCTGTGCTGCCAGATTAGGCATTCTGAAAACAAGCTCTGATCTCATCTCCCGTTCAGGAATCCTCAGTGGCTCCCCATTATCTTCAGGAAAGTTCAGTCCCCTTGACCTATCATGCAGTCATGTTCAGTATGACCTGGTCAACCTTTGTAGCCTATTGTTCACTGTTCTGCCTACTTCACATGCTCTGGGCTCCAGACTGACTAAACCACTTGGAGTTGCTCTCCCACTTGTCTGCACCTGCCACTCTGCTCGCCCACCCCTAGTCCTTCCGCCCCCACTCGTCCGCGGCACACTCATCCATCCAGACCCAGCTAAAGCGTCCTCATGTCCGTCAGCCTTCCCGTGCCCAGAGGAAAATTCTGTGAACTCTCAGAGGGTTTGTCTGTCTTGACTACACCTCACTTTCTACATTTATTAGCGCTCTTGGTAGCATTTCTCTCACTGGACCGTAAGCTTCTTGGAGGCAGAAATAATCTCAGTCCATTGAAGCTGTCGGCGAGTTCCTTGGCATTCTGAAGGTGCTTCAGGAAATGTCATGGGCCTGCCCGTTTGCCCAGACCTAGAGTCTGGGTCTATGGCCTTGGAGCCAGTTTAACATATACTCTTCTCCAGCCTTGCTCCTTCATCAGGTTTCTCAGGAGCGCACTGTGTTGAGTCTTGAGAGAAGTTTAGTTCTGGGGTTCTCACCTTCACCTTCTGTGTTTCCCACCTCCAGGTACCGGCGACCATGACATCTCTGTGGCTGCTCAGAACCCCCTTCCTGTGCAGCCTGCTCTGGGCCTTCTGGGCCTCAGGTACCAGGGCTGAGGAGCACGGGGCTGGCTCTTCCCATCCCAGCAGCGTGGGTCTGGATAAGCACACAGTGCACGACCAAGAGTATGTATTCAGCCAGGACTGTGGGCCAGGGGTCTCCCCATCCTCTGCGGCTGCAGCCAGCTCAATGGCACGCTCAGTCCGCTTTTCCGTCTACTGCTTGTGCTCCTTGACATTTTTCAAGGATGATAGTTATTCCTTACAGCCACTCGTAAGTCAGGTATTCCTCTTTTTGTCATCGTATCGCCAATGGGGGATCTTGAGGCCCAAATGGAATAAATGACTTGCCTGAACTTTTTCTGTCTCTCACCACAGACAGACATAGATGCACACTCTCACACACACATGCACACACACAGTAGTAGTAGTAGTGAAATCCAGAATCGAGCTAACGTTTCTTGACTGTGACAAGACCATTTTCTTTTTTTATTGGCACATTCAAACATCGAATCATTTGTTGTGACATTTGTCTTGGGCCAGTTAGCCTTACACATTATACTCTGTTATCCTTGAATTGATTTTAAAAGTGTTTTTTTTTTTCAATGATAGCCTCAAAAAAATGTGATAACAATGTCCTAGTAATAAAGAGGGAAAATCACCCATAATCTTGCCAGCATAATAGGTGCAGTGTTTGGTTTTCCTCTGTGCTCCTTTCACGCCTTGCCTGCATCTGCCATCCTTGAGGGTGGTCTGCCCCTTTCTGTTTGTTTTTGTGGGATGGGTGAATTTAAGATCTTGAACTTTTAAGAGCTCTTAAGGTTTTATTTAGCTTGATCCCACTGTCCCTGCCAAGTGGTCTGAGTCTAACTATTGGTTTCTAGGCATATCATGGAACATCTAGAAGGTGTCATCAACAAACCAGAGGCGGAGATGTCCCCACAAGAACTGCAGCTCCATTATTTCAAAATGCATGATTATGATGGCAATAATTTACTTGACGGTCTAGAACTCTCCACAGCCATCACGCATGTCCATAAGGAGGTAGGTCAGGCCGTGGAGCGCTGGGCAGCCTCTCAGAAAGGCCTCTCTTTGCTGCTTCAGTCCCCGGTCTTGCTGACCTGTGCTGTCCTTGTGCTGCAACAGAATCGTTGCTTCTCCTTTTTCCGCTCACCTCTCTGTTCTGTCTCTTTTCCTATTCAGTGGTCCTTCTTGCAGAGGGTGACCTGCTGAGGTAGAAGCCCCAGGGCCTTGTGTCTTTAACAAGTGCTACAGACCTTTCTGCTGCACACCAGAGTTTGAAAACCAGCGCCCCAAAGACAGACCATGTTCAAAATGCAGAGCAGGGGAGAAGTTACTTGAGAAGAATGGGGAATCGGAACCAAGGGATCGAGGGACTCAGCACTAATTGAGGGTTTGTACAGTGCTATGAGCAAAGCAGTTTGCAAAGCACTTTCAAGTACGTTAGAAATCACACTGCAGCCCATGAGTAGGCAGGGACAGGCATTCTTACTACCTGATTCTAGAGGGGGAGGAAACTGAAATGGAGACTTTTGTCTTAGGATCGAATGCCTGTCCTGCTCTGCCACACTGCAGTGTAGAGGAGGGGGAGGCAAAGCTGGTGAGGTCGCTGCCCAGGAGAGCAGGTTTGGGGTTACTCTGAAGGCAGTGGGGAGTGCTAACAGCTCTGTGCAGGAGAATGGCGTGACGAGAGAGGTGTTTCGGGAAGATCTTTTGCTGTGGGAAGCTAACTGGTGGATGCGAGAAGAGTCTCGCATCAGGGAGAATGGTTTCAGCATCCTGGCAGGCGAGGGTGGTGGCAGCCGTAGGAGAGGAAAGGTAGCTATGGGAGAGGTGCCAAAGGAAGAATTGGCATGGGGTGTGCACAGCGTTAGCTTAGCACTTGGCATAGTGAGCCTCTGGAGCAGAGATCCCTTCCCCTCAAAGACCCTAACAGGTTTTCCTGGTTGGCAGCATCTTCTTCTTCTGACCCCAAGGTGTGGTCCAATGTGGACTGTTTCTTCCTGTCAGGGCAGATTGTGCCCAGAGCTGACTCTCGAGGGGGCCTGGGCTGTGAGCTTTTCTCTAGGATGGGTCTGTGGGTCATGGGATCTGTGAAACACACAGTTCTGTATGAGCCAGATCTAGCTTTCTACAGTGACCATGTATGACTTTTGTCCTTAGAAGAGGATGAAAAGTAATTTTTAAAATAAATAAGCAAGGGCCTCCTTTGATTGTATCTTTCTTGTAACTGGCAACTATACTTTCTAAATTGATTATTCTGAATTGACTCTATATCTGACATATGGTTTGTGGATTCCTAGAAGTAGCTTTGTATTACATTGAAGGAGTTTTTGGACACGTGTGAGCATGGACATTTTGGAAATTGGCTAAGCACTTCCAGTAAAATGTGCCAACTCATTGTTTAATTTAAATTTTGTAGGGAGGGAACGAACAGGCACCACCCATGAGCGAAGAGGAACTGATTAACTTAATAGATGGTGTTTTAAGAGACGATGACAAGAACAATGATGGATACATCGACTATGCTGAATTTGCAAAATCACTACAATAGACATTATTTGACTGTCTCCTAGTTTTTATGCAAATGTGACCCATTATAATGTGATTGAACACTTTGCGTAATGCAGAATAATTCATTTCCAACTACTGCTGAAGTATTTTGGTAAAAACCTGTAGCAGGTGTTACACTGGTGTGAGAAAGAGAAGTCAAGAGAAATAAAAGAGAAGTGAAATGGGACATGTTGTAGTCCCCAAGCACTGTTAAATCTCCTGTTGGACAAGGGCTACAGTGAACATGTACGCCTTAAAAAGACTAAAGAATATTTTAGGAATATTGGATAATTGGAGCTGAGTACTCAGGAACATGACTATAGAATACCGCTAGTCTCTTGGTTTTAATTCATGCTACCTGAAAGGTAAGACAAGCTTTGCCAGGTAGACACACTTTTCAGTAGCAGTGAAGGAATGGAATCAATGCCAAATGTTCCCCCTTGTGGGTCCTGTCTCTTCAGGTAAACGTGGTCAGTATTCTGTCAAGTTCCCTGGCTTAAATGATTATGTGCTTTGGGCAAGTGAGTATTGATTAAGCTATTTCCAATCCACAGCATAACACAAATGCCAGGTATTGAGTTCAGCTAGCCAGAGTCTGTATCTTCTGGCACTTTGGATATGATACACCACTGACCTAAGTGATTAACTTTTTCAGCTTTTCAATATTCTATAAAACTACTGCCATTTCTTTATATTTTATTTCTTTTATGTCTTCTTCAACCTGGAAGAGACCTTGAATATAAAAGTGTTCTCTAATCAATAGCAAATGTTTTAGCTTTCTTCATATTTGTATTTAACTCTTGTTTCTAGGGTTTTGTTTTTGTAGTTCAGAAACATAGGAATGCAAGAATTTATCCCTTCTGCTTGATACAGCGGGAGTAAAACTACTAGCTGCCGCAGTCTAAGTGGAAAGGTTATTCACCAAGCACAGTGATTAACCTGATACAAGTTGTATTTAGAAGGAGCGTTGTTTAAATGACCTCTTCTAGCCTAAATATGTGAATTCTTTCAGATCAGGAAAGATTAGAAAAAGAAGCCTAAAAACTTAACTGCCGTCTCTCGGCCTACAGTGTGAGTCTCAATAGTTGCAAGTGAGAAGCAGCAGCAAATTGTAATTTGGCTTATTGGATGTGATGGACGTACTGTGATAGAAGATCATGAAATGATGATTGAATGGGGGAAAACTGCATATAATTTGCTGTAATATGTATAGAGACTTATTTTCTTTATTGAAGTATTCTTATAAGAAAACATGTATTTGTAAAAATGATTTCCTGTGTCATGTATTTGTGCAATGAGAGTTGAATTATAAACTATTCTTATAAAATCTAGTTATTTTGAAAGATTTATATAATGAATTCTGGATATATGACCAATAAAACCTGATGAAACAAAATAAAAGGCTGTTGATTTTGTCCAATAGCTTCTTCTCCCACCACATGAAGGCTGTATTTATCTAATACAGATGTTTACATGTGCCTGCTCTCGCACAGGTCCTGTGACCCTCCTGTTCCCTGTTCCTTTTGAAGGGGTCAATTCCCAGTGTTCAGTCACTTTCCCCTTTTAGGCATATTTTTTCTTCCGAATGAAATCACTTTTTGGACCTTTTTTTCTGGCTGAGTTCAGATTATGACAGCATTTTCTGGCTTAGGAAAATACCGTGTTTTCTCCTTGAGACTGTTCTTTTTTGCTAGAAAATTTAATTTGATAGCATTACTACAAGTCTCCCAGGCCCAAGCAAAAAGTAGTCTCCCCTGGCTTTTTGGAAATAACACTTTGTTCTGCCAGTTGAAAAGCAAGGACGGAAGTTACCATTGCCTTTTTCCCGCCAAGATCCTTCGCTCTTGCAATGGCCCGGCTTCATCCAGAGCTGCCCCTCGGATGGATCTAGTGAGTAGGCTCACAGTCGTAGGAACCTCATGCTGTTGGCAGCTAGGAAGGGAGGCAGATCCTTAGAAGGTAGAGTCATTCCATTAAACAGTCAAGATGGACACCTCCTTCCGTTGGCACAGCTGGCTGCCGTTGGTAATGCTTCCCCAGTGGCCTGTGTGGTCCTGTTAGTCTGCCTTTCCCTATAGAAAGTCTCCCTGGTGGGTGAGGGGCCTGTGCCATTAGGGACACAGCATGATTAGCTATCCCCTGTGTACCCCTTTATCTCTCCTCCCCTGCACGCCTTCTCGTAGCTCACTTCAAGGACTTTTCAGAATGTATTAGGAACATCTCTGTACCTCTAAAATGGAGATAAATATACCCAAAAGAGTCAGCCTTATTAGGAGCATAAGCTTTGGACTAGGGCAGACCTGAGTTGAAGTCTTAGGCCTGCTACACTTTAGCTGTGGACTTGAGTTTCTCATCCAAAAAGTAAGTGTAATAAAACACCTACAGAGTGGGTAAGTGTTAACAAAATGAGGAAAAATAAGGCATCTGGTAAGTGCCTGGCACAGAGTAGGTGTTAACACTAACTCGTTCCCCAGCCTGGCTGAAGAGCCCAGACCCGCTTCCTCATTGAAGAGCAGGGGCTGAGGGGCTACAAAGAAACTAATGGCTCCTCAGGGGCACGGATCCAACAATATCCATAGTTTGCCACATAACCTTAGTTTCTGGATTTCAGTATCTCTGGAGAAGAAGAAAAAAAGTTTTTTTGTTGTTGGTTTTTGAATCACGTTAGACATCCCCTGAAGGTTCTGAGGGGAACACAGAAATATTCTTACCCAATAAAAACGAGCTGAATCACATTTCTACCTCAAGAGGGAATTCATTATCTCAAGAACCTAACCAAATATCTACCAGGAAATTAGCAGCGGAAGCCATGAACATTATGTCTGAACTTCTTGGATGTTAATTACAGGACTCCTGCTTCTGGGAAGGTGGACTAGATGTACTTTTCCCTGTGCCTCTAAGCATGATAAAACCTGGGACATTATATATAAAACAAACATAAGAAGACTGAAAGGTGGAGAGAAGTCAGACTAGCTAGGGGCCTTGGGACCTACGCAACAACATGTTGGTAAGTTTTCTGTGTGTTTTTATTCTCTCTCGTATGTTCTCAGACTTGGAGCTAAGGAAGCCGGCAATCCAGAAATGCCAAAAGGAGCAGACATTTTAAAAAAGAGAGCGAGAAAGAAAACCTGCTTTCTCTAGCCAAAGGATGAAGAAAAAGGCCAGCCAACACTTTCAGACAATAACTGCTCTACTTCAGCCAAATACCACAGGGAAAACTTGCCCTGCCAACAAAGGCTGACCGGGGAGCCTGGACTTCCACCCTTGCCAAGTGGTCATGAGGCACCCCTCCTCCTTCCTATATTTGAGGTGTTGCCAGAGGAGGCCAAGTAGGGATCTGGGGCTTTCATTCTCCCCACCCCTGGGCATTCACAAGCCCCCCTGTCTCTTCCCACAGGGTCATTGGGAAACACACAGGGGACCTGGACCTGGGGCTCCCCTTCCCCTTCCCACTGGGTGTTCAGAGGAGGCCTAGTGGAGGGTCAGGGCTCCCGTCACTGCCCAGGGGTAACAAGCCCACCCTCCACTGCAGTGTCAGTGGAGACCATGGCTGGGAGGGGTGCAAACTCCCACCCCTGCCCAGCAGCAGTAAGGAGTTCCTGGCCTTGGGTGTCAGTGGAGGCCAAGTAGACAGCCTGGACTTCTCCCTCCGCCTGTCAGTGATGAGATAGCACCCTTCCTCCCCCCTGCTGGAATGATGTCAGAAAATGAGTTAAAACAAGTTAAATGAGATCCAGTCTTATTACATAATACAAAAATGTCCAGGTTTCACTAAGAAATCACTCATCATACCAAGAACCAGGACATTTCAAACTGAAGGAAAAAAGATACTAACACGGAGGTAACATGTTAGAATTATTGGACAAAGGTTTTAAAGCATCCATGATTTAAAAATACTTTAACAAGTACGAACATGCAGCAAATAAATAGAAGATATAAAGAAGAACAAAATGGAAATTTGAACACTGAAAAATACAACCAAATAAAAAAACCAAAATAAAAACATTACTGGATAGGCTCAACAGAAGAATGGAGGGGGCAGAGGAAAGATCAGTGAACTGGAAGCTAGAACAATGGATGCTACAGTCTGACCAATAGAGAGAAAATGGACTTAAAAGTAAATATGCAGTCCTGTCCGGTTTGGCTCAGCAGTTAGAGCATCGGCCTGTGGGCCAGAGTCCCGGGTTTGGTTCCTGCTAAGGGCATGTACCTCGGTTGTAGTTTGTCTCTGGCCTCAGTTGGGGTCGTGTAGGTGGCAGCCACTTGATTTGTCTCTCGCCTCGATGTTTCTCTCTCTTCCTCCCACTCTCCCTCTTGCTTTATCTGAAGATAAATGCAAAAAAAAAAAAAAAAAGTGCAGAGCCTCAGGGACCGGTGGGACTGGAACAAAAGATCTGGCATTCTTCCCATCATCAGAGTCCCAGAAGCAGAGGACAAGGAGGCTGGAGCCAAACAGGGACTCAAAGACCTGCAAGTTCAAGAAGCTGAGCAAAGTCCAAGATTATAAGCCCAAAGAAATTGACCCCAAGGCTCATCATTGTCAACCTTCTGAGAAGTAAAGACAAAATAATTTTTTAAAATAGTGGGAGAGGAACAACATCTTACCTTTAAGAGAAAAATGACAGCATATTTCTCATCAGAAACCATGGAGGCCAGAGAGAAGTGGTACAGCAGTTTCCAAGTGCTGAGAGAAAAGAATCCTCAACCCAGAATCATGTATCTACTGAAGATATCCTTTAGCAACGGAGCGGAAACCAAGATATTCTCAGACAAAGGCAAGTGAAGCTAATTTCTCACCAACAGACCCACTCTAAAATAATGGCTAAAGAAAGGTTTTTTAAACAGAAAGGGAACAATAAAAGAACAATATATAATGGAATATTACTCGGCCATAAAAAGAATGAAATCCTACCATTGTGACATGGATGAACCTAGAGGATATTATGTTAAATGAAGTAAGTTGGACAGAGAAAGACAAATGCCAGATGATTTCACTTATATGTAGAATCTAAAAAGCAAAAATAAACAAAGAAAACAAAACAGAAACAAACTCATAGATACAGAGAACAAACTTGTGGTTGCCAGAGGGGACCGGGGGTGGGGGGACAGGTAGAGGGAAAATGGGGAGGGAATTAAGAAGTACAAACTGCTAGTTATAAAATAAATCATGGGGATGTAATGTGCAGCATAGGGAATATAGTCAATACTATACTAATAACAACATTATTATGAATAACTAGACTTATTCATAAGATACATAAATGTTGAACACCTGAAACTAATACAATAATGTCAACTATAATAAAAATAATTATTAAAAAGATAAAAAATAGGTAAATACAATAGACTTTCCTTTTGTATTTTATAAATTATATTTAATAGTTGAAACAAAAATTATGATATGGTATGGTGTGGTTCTTAAAACAATTATATTGCAAATGGGGGAAGGTAAAAAATGTAAAGTACATTTTTGTTTTTGTTTTTAATCCTCACCCAAGGATATTTTTCTATTTATCTTCAGATAGAGAGGGAGGGAGAGAGAGAGAAACATTGATGTGAGAGAGACACATCAACTGGCTGCCTCCTGCATGACCCTGACCAGGGCCAGGGATGAACCACAACCGAAAAGTAAATTTTTTATACTTTACTCAAACTGATAAGATGATGAATGTAAAATGGTACAGGCACCCTGGAAAACAATTTGGCAATTTCTTCTTTTTTTAAATCCTCACTTGAGGACATTTTTACATTTTTTGTTCAGATAGAGTAGGAGCGAGAGAGAGGAAAAGAGAAAGAGAGAGAGAGAGAGAGAGAGAGAGAGAGAGAGAGAAACATCTACGTGAAAGGGACACATTGAGTGGCCGTCACCCACACGACCAACCAGGGCCAGGAACAAACTGCAACCGAGATACGTGCCCTTAGCAGGAACTGAACCCGGGCCTCTCTGGACCACAGGCCGATGCTCTAACAGCTGAGCCCAACCGGCCAGGGCCAATTTGGCAATTTCTTAAGAAACTAAGCATGCGCCGGGCTGGTGTGGCTCAGTGGAGCATCATCCCATGGACTGAGAGGTCTGGTTCGATTCCCGGTCAGGGCACATGCCTGGGTTTCGGACTCAGTTCCCAGTAGGGGCATGCAGCAGGCAGCCAATCAATGTTTCTCTCACATTAATGTTTCTATCTCTGTTTCCCTTCCTCTCTAAAAAAAACCAATAAAAGATATTAAGACAAAATAAAACAAAAAGCAAAACTAAGCCTGCAATTGATCAGCAACTGAATTCTTGAGCATTTATATTTGTGCAAAATCTTGCACATGAATGTTTAGAGCGGCTTTATTTGTAATGGCCCCAAACTGGAAAC